TGAGCCCCGAATAAAATCATTAAAACCAAACAAATAAACAACTCTTTTGCAGCAGATTTGCCTCGTTTTCATTACTCCCCAAAGACCAGACTCACTGGTATGGAGTCCGTTCCAACTGCTCGTGACCCTAGAGGGCAGGGCAGCACTGCCCCTGTGGGTTTCCGAGACGAACTCTTTTCAGAAGTAGAAAGCCCATCTTTCTCTCTCAGAGCATCAAGTGGTCCCTAACTGCTGGCCTGTGGGGTCACAGCCCAGTATGGAGCCATGCCGCCACCAGGACTCCCAGTTACCATCTACCCCCCACCCCCCCACCTACCCCGGTCAACTAATTCTGTGGCTATGATCGGTTAGTCTAATTATTTAAAACCTCATATTTTCACCCTTTCCTCCAGGAGCTGGTGTGGCCCTTAAACAAATTGAAGTTGGATTTTCATCTCCTCTCAGGGGAGATGTGATCCCGAGTTGCTCAGAGTGGACATTTCGAGGGGTGGGGATAGTTCTAACCTGGAGAAACAGCAGATCCAAAGGAAAGTACGCAGGGGGCTTTGCACAGGCGGGGCTTGGTCTCCTCCTCTTCATGGGCTCGGTCCCTGGGGTGGGATTGTGAGAGCAGGAGGTGGGACAGGCCCCCTCCTGTGTGCCGCCCCTCAGGCACGCAGTGGTGACATCTCAGTAGAGCGTCCTTCAGCCGTCACTCCTCCTGTCAGCTTTAGTTGGTTTATTTTCTCAAATTAAAAAAAAAATTTTTTTAATGAAGTGACACAAGGTGAAATGGAAGCTTTCACATGTTCCCAGCCCTGTCCTATGAGGTAACCCTTATTCAGAAGGAGCTTCCTTCCCCTTTTTTATGTCTTTCGTAATTCAGTTCTGGAACAAAGAAATGACAACGCTGGAAAAGAAAAGCATCTATGTGTGTTAATATTAGTGCTTGCCTGTCTTTAATAAAATAAGCAGCAAATTTAATGAGGGGAAATATAGGAACTACAGGGTGTAAAGCTAATTTGGGTGAAAAAATCCCACCGTGACGGGTATATTGTCTAATACAAGCATCAGGTGTCCAACAGTGCCCATGGAAGACTATCATCTGTGTCTCCTTGTAGCGCAATGTAAAATTGTATCTGTATCTTCATGTTTGCTTATCACTAGCCCTGGGGCATAGTGGGTAGTGTAGTGGGTTAAGCCCTGACCTGCTAACCACAAGGTTAGCAGTTTGAAACCACCAGCCACCCAGAGGGAGACAGACAGGACATTCTACTTCTGTAAAGAGTCCCAGTCTTGGAAACTCACAGGGCAGGTCCACCCTGTTCTATAAGGCTGCGAGGATTTCAAGTGCATTTAGTTGGTTTGGCGTGCTCGATGTGCACATATATGTAGGTAAAATTTTAAAGATTATTTGTTTAAACTTGGGATGCATAGATAACTAGTATGAGCTGATGTTTTTGTTTTTTTAATATATTTGGCATATATAAATTACCAAATTTATCATCAGGAAGAATGTGTCAGAGAGGTTAGCCTAGTTTGTAAAGGAGCCATTGTTTCTAAGACAGTTCTCTGTCTGTCTGTCTATCTATCTATCTATCATCTATCTATCTGTCTATCTATCTATCTATCATCTATCTATCTATCTATCATCTATCTATCTGTCTATCTATCTATCTATCTATCTATCTATCTATCATCTATCTATCTATCTGCAGTGAATATGTTCGTAGGATTCAGAATTTAAAAGGTTGCTAGGATATGCTCTGGATCTTTTATTCCAGCTACCCAATTTCTCTTTCCACAAGGTAGCCAATGGTCTAACCTTTAAACAATTCTCATTTTGATAAACTATTCTGAGTGCCAATGTATACTGAATATTTTATGCTCGGTTGATGTCATTTGACATGATTTCATTGCCTAGTTTTAGAATCTGGATAAGAACGTATTATAGTTTCCTACTGGGTACTTGAAGTTTTTGTTGCGATTAAAAACCGCAAATATATATTCGTCAAAATATCGGTACTGTTTTTCCTCCTCCATGGAAAAGGCACGGCATTTTTATTTTGCAGTTTGGCATTCAGATGGTCATGCTCCATCAGTATGTGTACTGAAGGCGCCTGAGTACACGGTGTGTCTCCGTTGGCGTTCATTGATAAATATGTGACAGTTTGCCCCCATCAAGAGTCACCACCTCAGAAACCCCAGGGAGCAGTCCGACTCTGTCCTGTAGCGTTCCTGCTGCTCAAAATCAACTGTACAGCAGGGGACCTTTAGGATTTCATAGTTACTGTAAGTAGCCCCCCCCCCCCCCGCCTGCCTCCACACCAGGTTGCGGCACACTTTCCATTTGTAAAGCCATGCCCAGAGAGAGGCGTGGGGATCTGCTTGTAAAAGGTCACATCCATACCGTGACTCGGCGCATTGGGTTATGGTGTGGTGCGGAATATTGGAAGGACTGTGGACGGCTAGACAAACGAACGCAGCAGTCTGGCCAGAATGCTCCTCAGAGGCGAGGATGGGAAGGCTTCCTCTCTCGTACTGGGGACATGTTGTCAGGAGAGACCAGGCCCGGGAAAAGGACATCGTGTCTGGTCAAGCGGAGGGGCAGCGAAGCAGAGGAAGACCCTGGACAAGTTAATGGTGGCTGTCACCATGGGCTCCAACTATGAGGACCCGGAGGTGCTTCCTTCTGTCACACCCAGGGTCGCAATGAGTTGGGCGTTGTTTCTTAGGGCCCATGGGAGTCGGAGGGAGAAGGGAGCCGTGGGTGAGGTGTACTCTCTGTTCTACAGGATGCCACAATGTACGCATGATTGACAGCAGGAAAGAGCTTCGAATTCGTTTAGTGTCCATGTTTAGTGGCTAGCACCCAGTGACTGACAGCACCTGGTGGTGTCACGTCTTCAGAATTATAATAAACATCTCTGGTTCTGCCTTTTTTCTTTCTTCTTTTAATCTGCTGTAGGATACACATAAAGTGTACTTCCCCAAGGATGGTCTTTCCAACCATGATTTCAACAAGCGCTTTCAGGAAAAAGTCATACACTTGCTCGATTGCTTTTGGTCTTTAATACAAGCTACGGGAGCCATAACTTGGATTATCATTTTAACCTAATTTGTCACTCAGCATCCCTTTTGAAAGTATTTGTTTGCTTAGATTGAAACACTGAAATGCTTCCTCCTGCCTGCAGAGCGACAGATTAGCAGAGAGAAACGCAGGCAAATCACCATGTAAAATTGGGTCAATATGTGTGCTGCTTGTTTGGGCGCCTGTGTGCTGGTGGTCTGGATTGCGTCGCGTTGGGAGCTGCCGGTAGCTGAGAGAATGCAACAGTGAGGTTGCACCTCCCTGCTCCCTGCTCGGCCCAAGACAAGGAGCGTCTGCCCTGGGCATCTGGGACGGGCAGGTATTTCAGGAAGAGGCTGGGGGTTATAGTCCCAGGATAGTCAGGGGTATGGCCTGAAATGCGTCCCCACCTTCCTTTGGCAGGGGATCTGGGGGAGCTGTGGCTTTGGGAGACTGGACTGGACCCGAAAGCTGCACAGGGTTTTATGGTTTTATTTCTGGTGGTCTTTGCTCGGCTTGTGGAATTGCTGACCCTCAAAGAGGCCTACATGTCACATGTCACACGTGTGCTATGCAGTTATTATACAATTGCATCCCTAGGAATGAGTATTAATGTTACATTAGTAATTTTCTATTTTACATGGGAGGTCAAACCTCAGGGCTTTAAAAATAAAAATTTAAAAAAGGCAAATGCACATTGGCTATCTAGGTTCCCCTGCACGTGTTGTAAGCATTTAAGTTCTAGACAAATTAGTGATCATTCTTTATTTATTTTTAAAAATCATTTTATTGAGAGCTCATACAACTCTTATCACAATCCATACATGCATCCATTGTGTCAAACACTTTTGTACATTTGTTGCCATCCTCATTTTCAAAACATTTTCTTTCTACTTGAGCCCTTGGTGTCAGCTCCTCATTTTTTTCCCTCCATTCCCCCATGAACCCTTGATAATTTATAAATTATTATTTTCATTTCTGACGACACCGACCACTGTCTCTATTCACCCATGTTTCTGTTGTTGCCTGTGATCATTACTTTTTAAAAAGTGTATCCCTAACAATTCCTTCTAGGAATGTGGTGATGGTTATATTAATATAAACAGCTACAGTTTGAGATGAAGTTGTGCAAGTGGACATTTGCACATGAATAAATGTGTGTGTACATGTGTAATGTTTTCATGGTCATACACATTTTCCCTTGCTTACGGAAGCCAAAGAAAGCGGTGGTTTTATTAAACATTCGGCCCCCTTTCTCTCCTAGTTAATAGATTTCAGAGGCACGCCTTCATTACCCCATTCAGCTCTCTGTCTCTCCTCTTGGGCCAGAGTGATGACCGGCATGTTGTACTTCTGGTAGCTAGGGCCTCTGTTTCCCAGCTCTGCCTTCAGGAGTTTCTCAGGTTTTGTCCTGGAGAGAGAGTGGAACTTGTGTGTCCCTTTGGCTGGGGGTAGCTGTGGGCCTCTCTCAGAGCTCTGCTGAGTATAAAGCCAGGGAAAGACTGGAGCCAGAGACTGCTCCTCTGGGTGCAAGCCTCCCACCCTTTGAGGAGGAAGCAAGTGGCCCTGCTAAGGAGAAACACTGCAGGTGGGCACGTGAGGTTTCGGGCATACCTTTACATGAGTCTTCTGCCATTGTCTCATGCCTTTTCACGGGGGAATTAGTTCTGTCACATCTGGCTTTGCTTTTGTTTTCCAAATGAGTTTATTAGTTTAGCTGCCTTGATGTGCAGGGTGGGGGTGGCCCCCCTGGAAAGACGGCTCGGAGAAACACGCCTGACATCTGAAATAGAAACAAACCAGGCTGAGCTGGTCCCAGCTAGCGCACTGGCCCTCATTCCTGGTGCGGAGCGAGAGGTGAGGTGGTAAGACAGCGAGGCTTTCCTGGATTTTCCTTCCTCCCCATGCTAGCAGGCCCCCATGGAAAGGTGTTTCTACCTCTCTCCCACAGGCTGGCGGCTCCCAGGTCATCTTTACGAACCCACTGGAGATCGTGAAGATCCGCCTGCAGGTGGCCGGGGAGATCACCACAGGCCCCAGAGTCAGCGCCCTCAATGTCCTCCGAGACCTGGGCCTCTTCGGTCTGTACAAGGTGGGTAGCTGCCCGAGGGGAGCCTGTCTCCCACTCCGTGAGAACGTGGAAAGCTGAGGCTTGTCCAGTAGGGTCGTTCCTGAAAAATCCAACAAAACGGAAAGATCGGAGGCGAGCACTGCCTCGAGTTGTCCTGTGGCTCCTACTGCTCTTTGGGCTGGTCTCTGACTTCCCGATAAGTCTTCATGGTTACTGTGAACTTGACGGAGAATCTGAATCTCCTCGGGGTTATCTTCCCAGGAGTCTCCCTTTGTCTTAATAATTTGATCACAGTCAAACCATAGTAGAGTTTGGTAGGCTTGATGAGTCTTTAAGAAGTTAAGTGGTGGGATTTGTCAATAATGAATTCCATTTAAAAAAAAGAAGCAAACAAATAAACAGAACTGTATTGTATTTTAGCAAAACGCCAGTCAACAGATTCCTTCCCGGCAGGTACACTTGCTCCCATCATTACAGATCAGAGGTAATGGAGCAGAAGCTATTATTTCTCTTAAACACGGAAGAGCAATGCTCTCCATTCCCTTGCCTGGTGGAAGAGGGGACTGCCGAAATGTAGCCCCCAGGCGACTGTTGCCGAAGCATCTGACTTATTTATACATCCACCGCTGCTGTAATGTGTACATTTGTTTCGGTAGCTGCAAACTAGAAATGAGTAATTCTCTAGATTAGAATCCCCGAGCTCCGGAATGTTCTGGCGATCTGCACGCCCGTGAGGCCTTCTCTCCGGAGGCCGTCGCACATGGTCTGCCCACTCCCTCGACGTCCGTCCTCCTTGGACTTCCTTCGGGGACAGAACTGCTTCACAGGATTGCTCTCTGCACCCTCCTTGGCGGCGCCCCTGGCTTTTTTTTCTTAATGTTTGCGTTTACCTTTTAAAAAACAGACCTGTTAGAGGAACAGGTGCTAGAGGTGGCCGATTGTCCCGCTTGGCAATGCCCCGGGCAGTGGACTAGCTCTGGGCACTGACAAAGCTGGGGAAGGTGTCACCAGACAGCTCCCCCTGGGGGGTCGGCTCCTCCATGGCCATTGCCTCCCCTCCTTGGTTGAGGACACAGGGGTTGAGGAAAGATTTGTGCTTTCCCCTTCCCAATATCATCCTTCCCGGCATGCTTCGACTGACCTGGTTCTTCATTTCTTCAGTTGCCTTTAGTTGGGAATCAAGCCCTTAATCTTGGGACTTCGGGACTCTTATGGGCTCCATCAAAGCCAGACTGAACAAGCAGAGCCTGTAGGTTTGAGAACTGGAAACCATATTTCCCTTGAAAGTCGAGTCTGTGATGGAATCTCCAGAAAAGTCTTCATTGTAAGAGTCATTGGCACACCCCAGTCTCTAGCTCTAGACCGCCAGGGTCCCCCGTCCTTTTCCCACTTTGGCCACACACGTCCCCTGCCACCCACCAGCTCCTAGCTCTTCTCCTTCCACCCCAGTCCCAGTGCAGTTGGAGGGACAGCTGGCTTGTCACCCAGGGACAGCTGGCTTGTCCCTCTGGGGCATTCACTCTGTTTACACAACTGTTTTGCCCTATTTCCTCACTGTGTGACAGGGTGCCAAAGCGTGTTTCCTCCGAGACATTCCCTTCTCTGCCATCTATTTCCCTGTTTATGCTCACTGCAAACTACTTCTGGCTGATGAAAACGGACGCGTGGGAGGCTTAAATCTCCTTGCAGCTGGAGCCATGGCAGGTAATTACAACTTCTTTTTGTTCTTTCATTTTTAACCAAAAGAGCTCTCCCCCATTCTCCTGAAGCAGCCCCGACTCTCCATGGACTTCCCCCCTTCATTTCTGGGGGTGAGGGGTTATTGTTTGTATCTGACTCCGTTTAAATATGAGCACTTTTTTCTCTTTTGTGGGATGTGCTGTAATTCTGATGAGCGTTAATTACATTTGCATAATGTGGATAAACAGCTTAATGCAGCTTAGCAACTTGGAGCCAAATTAGATCTGCCCATCTAAATTGGGCTTTCATCATTAACGCGTTTCTTAGTCTCCCGTGCCCCTGAAACCTTGGGAGAAGACAAACTAAGCATTAAGGTGGAAAAGTTCTCTATCAAATCAGCGGTTTTGTTGTCCCTACTGGGATGTGCGGGGCCCAGCGCGGGGGCCCTCCCTCTCTATCTCCGTCAGGCCCAGAAGCTCTGCCTAGTCGTCCTGCCATGCCCAGCATTGGACCCGAGAGGGCAGCACAGCCCATATGCACATCAGCCCACCCAAAGCGTGCTTGGCGCCTCTTGTGACCCCGAAGGCTTTGTGTAATGGTAGTGGTAGTTTGTGTCAACTGGGCTGGAAGCTCACTCGTCAGTGCCTGCTTTCCCATTGCCGTCAAGGCGATGATGAGTGGTGGAAGTTCTTAGCATTGCACAGGGGACCTGTCACACAGGACTACAGGGGGGCTGCCTTCCATGCTGGCTGGCTGCCACGGGGACCAGGTGGATTTGAACCAACAACCTCTGGTAGTCATCAAGTACACACACTGTTGGTGCCCCCCAGGGGATAGTAATAATAACCCCACTGCTATGGTGTCAATTGTGACCTTATTGACCCTGATTAGAATGCCCAAAGCTGAACAGTCTCATCACTCTGCCCAGGTGAGGCCGGTGGGTTCGAACCACCGACCTTGTGGTTAGCAGTTTGACGCTTACCCGACAGCACCACCAAGGCTCCTTCTAAGAGCTCAGTAAATGTCAGAGGAGTAAATGAAGACGTTATCTAGTCAAAGGTACCAGATGAGGGACAGAAAAGCTGCCGCCTGAAAGAAGAGTCTCACAACTGTGGGGGTGCAGAGCGTCTTGAATGGAGGGCCAGGCATCCAGGACTCAGGTGACAGAGGAAGGACAGACACGGGCTTGCTGGATTCCTTCTCCGGCGGCCCTGGCCCGGCCAGCGGGACAGCCTGGGCGCGTCCTGCACTGTGGCGTGTGGTGGTGCTGGGAGGATGTGCCGTCTTTCTCCTGGACCATGAACCGAAAAGTGGGTGAAGGGAGATGTCAGACAGGGCAAGATATGACAAAATACCAATTTATAAACTATCAAGGGCTCATGAGGGAGGGGGGAGTGGGGAGGGAGGGGAAAAATGAGGACCTAATGTCGGGGGTTTAAGTGGAGAGAAAATGTTTTGAGAATGATGTACAAATGCGCTTTACAAAATTGATGTGTGTATGGATTGCGATAACAGTTGTATGAGCCCCTAATAAAATGTTTAAAAAAAAAAAGATTTAAACCAAAAAAAAAAAAAAAACTAGGGGAAAATTGTATGTTTCATCATTGCTGCACGCACCTGACTGGCTCGTCTCCTCCCTGAGACCCCTCTGCAAGGGGATCTCCAGTGGCCTACTAATGGGCTTTGGGTCTCCACTCCGCACTCCCCCCATCATTCGCTATGGTAAGATTTTTTGTTCTGATGTCCTTGGTTCTGAGCGCCTGTCCAGCCCCACTCCTGTCCTCACCAAAGCCTCGGTTCAAAGGGGGCCGGTATTTCCCCCGCAGGCTTCCCCTGTGTTTTCTAGCCGACAGCCAACAGCCAAAAAACAGTCTAATCGCAGACAGGCACTTTGCCAGGGCCTGACTGAACCAAATAAACATTTCCATGAAACTGTCAGCACCGACTTCTTGCCCACAGACATTTGATGTCAGGTTTCAGAATGAGAGAGGAGTTTTCCTAATTTTCTCCAGCAAAGCTTTGCTGGCAGGCACTGACTGAGAACACTCAGAATCCTGCCCCCAGAGGCAGGCAGCTTACCCAGGCTCCTCTGGGAGGAGGTAGTTGCATGGTCTCCGAGTTTTCTAGCAAAGTGCCTCCCTTCAGCACCACCCCCTCCATCTATCTGGTGAGGAGACAGTGGGAGAAGCTGAGTTCCTCTCCTCCAGGGAAGGCTGCGTTGTGCCTTGCTTCCCTGGCTTGTTGGAGAAGTAAAAGGTGTGGTCATGAAATCCATTTCTGTGTCCTGCTGCTGACCAGTCTCCACATGACCACAGGGTGGTCAAGCCTGTCCGCAGGCAGCTTGCCCACTGTTCTCCTCTCGTCACCCGGCCTGCAGCTGGAATGACTGTGTCAGACCAGAGTCACACTCCACTCTCCTGTTAGGCCCCAAACAGGTGAAGGCCCGTCGCATAGCTAGACTGACAAAAACAGTGCGATGGATTGACATCATCCTTTTGTTTCCTGTTATGCATGAAAGCACTTGTGTTTTATTTAAGGGGGAAAAAGAGGTAAAAGAATAGATAGCAAAGCCTGAAAGGGAAGGTGAGTTGTCCTGTTACTACTGCTGCCTTTCCCCGGCTTCTCTCCGTGCTGTAAGGTGCCTCAGTCGAGAGCCATTGTCCGAATCTAGAAGGAAGGGCAGAGATCCTGCTCTGGCTTCCATGTCCCCCTCTTCACGAGCACTGGTGTGTGTGTGTGTGTGTGTGTGTGTCTCGCAGGGCCCTTAGGGAATTTAGAGGTCCCATCAGGTGGCTAATGTTGCTGGTGGTGTGTGTGTGGGGGTGTCGGCAGCCTCTGGCCCCTTGGTAAGGGACCGTGGAGATTGAATGCCGCTATCTCCCTGAAGGTGTGCCTGCGGCTTCCCTGGTGACCCCTGCTGATGTCATCAAGACAAGACTGCAAGTGGCCGCCCGAGCCGGCCAGACGACCTACAGCGGTGTTGTGGACTGTTTCAGGAAGATCCTCCGGGAAGAAGGGCCCTCTGCGTTCTGGAAAGGGACGGCAGGTAGGGGCTGGGGTCCTGTGGCCTGACACTCGCATCCGGCTCCTGGTCTGGGGGCGTGGTGGGGGTGGGGCTGTCTATGTCATGGCCAGTGTGGTCTTCACTCAACCCCCCTCCCACCTGTCTTGCAGCTCGAGTGTTTCGGTCCTCTCCCCAGTTTGGCGTCACCTTGCTCACCTACGAGCTTCTCCAGCGGTGGTTCTACATTGACTTCGGAGGCCTGTAAGTGCTCACGCTCACGCTGGTCTCCAAGGGCCAGCACCGCAGCCTTGTCTTGTTCTGTGCGCCCCATTTGGGAACGGCTCTTGGGGGCCCGCACACTTGGGGTAGTAGTGCTCTCGAGACGCTGTTGAGCTCAGAGTGGGACCTTGGCAGGGTGACATCAGACTTAGCATTCCGAGAGGGACAGGGTAGCAGCAAACTAAAATACTGGGAGAGCAAGCGTGGGCTTTTAATGACAGCAGACCCTGAGCCCCTGGGTTTCGGACCTTAGGATGTGTGTTTTAAAGGTCGGCCTCCTTTCTGGCCCGCTCACCTGAAGGAAGGTAAACATTCCTGAGTGACGCTTTTGAGAACTTTCTCTCAAAGATTTAAACCATTTTTACACCAATGATAATTTCATTTTTCAAATCACTAAGTAAAGAGGCTGCTACATCTAATTTTGTGTGGGAGGGTTGGACACCCCAAAACCAATAGGTTCAGAGAGGCTGTGTCCACTAGGAGGTCTAGACCAGGCACTGGGGTCTCGTGCGCAGCCTGGTGCTCAGCACACTTGCTGGCTGGGTAGCAGAGGGGTCGTGTGTTGGATTTGCTGGGAGCGAAAGGTGGAACGGGGAGCCAGCCAGCTCAACCAAGTTAGGGGGTTGCTGCGTAACCGTGGAGTGGAGGGACCTGTGCAAAGAAGGGAGAGTGCCACCTTACATCCCATCCTCGGGTTCACACGTTCCTGTGCTCCCACCTCCGGGGGTGGAAGAATGAAATCGCCTTCTCTTTCAGCGACTTCAGTAAAAGTCTGTGTGATCTACTCTGTTGGAAATTAAAAATGATCTCAAAGTAAGACATTACAAGAAAAGGCGTCAGCTTAATTTAGTCTGTGCTCAGTGCAGAAGTTTTGGAAAACACAAAAAGTTTACAGAAAATGAATCCGTATGGACAAAATAATAATTTATAAATTGTCAAGGGTTCATGAGGGTGGAGTAGGGGAGGGAGGGGAAAATGAGCTGATATCAAGGGCTCAAGTAGAAAGCAAATGTTTTGAGAATGATGATGGCAACACATGTAGAAATGTGCCTGACACAATGGATGGATGGATGGATTGTGATAAGAGTTGTATGAGCCCCCAATAAAATGATTAGAAGAAAAGGAAAAAAGAAAACGCATCAGTAATCCCACCTCTCCAGGGTGCATTTGTGTTAGTGCCCCGGTGGGTGTTTTCCTGGTCTGTGTTCTTAGCGGCCCGGAAGCCCTTTCTCCTCCACGTGAGGTGTGTGCGCGGGTGCTGCGGCCCAAGCTGTGGCCCAAGCCGCTGCCGGTCAGGAGGGGGCCCGACTGCAGGGCGGCGGTGGTCGGCTGCCCTCCCAGGCTTGCAGGCTCACTAACCCCGTGCTTCTTCCCGTCCACAGCAAGCCGTCTGGCTCGGAACCGACCCCTAAATCGCGCATCGCAGACCTCCCTCCCGCCAACCCCGATCACATCGGCGGCTACAGACTCGCCACAGCCACCTTCGCGGGCATCGAAAACAAGTTTGGCCTTTATCTTCCCAAGTTTAAGTCTCCCAGCGCTGCAGTAGCTCAGCCCAGGCCGGCGGCGCCAGCTCAGTGACAGCCACGGTTGGTGTAGCAAGAGATGGCAGCCCGAGGGCAGAGTGGCCTGGGGGAGCAGCCCTGCGGGGCACCCAGTCAGCTGCATGGTGCTGGCTGAGCCCGAGTCAGGGCGCCCTTTCTGTATGACACATACCTGTATTTGTGTATAAAGTAACCATTGGCCGGGGAGGGGGTGGGCGGGGGGAGACGCGGCCCGGCCTGAGCTTTAGTCCGACGTGATGAAATGTTTTCTAAGCCTTGGCATGCATTGTAGTGTTCTAGCCTCAGCTTCGCACCGCTTGGCACTTCCAGCGACTGTACATATTGTACATCTTTGTACAGAGACACCTCGGCACCTCATCCCCACGAATCACATGGATAGCTATGTAACTCCGTTCCGAGTGGCTGGAAATGGACAGGACACTTTGAACGTGTTTTATTGAGAATCACGTTAAAAAAAAACAAAACACAAAAAGAATCACGTGAAAATAAATGTATTAAAGCGAAACCCAGGCTCTTGTTAGTGAGTGGTAGTTAAGCTGCAATATTAGACGCCTTTAATTCACAGTTTGTTTTCCGTCCTGGAATCCAGAGGTACTTGCTCTGCATAAAAGGCATAAGGAGCCCAGGTGCTGACAGTATTACCTGGAGTAAGAGGTACTTTGGAAAGGTGCGTGCCAGTGGGAGCCGCAGGTCCAGGCTGGTGCCTTGTGCGAGTGGCGTTTGCATTTTTATTTCATGTGTGTGGGCAGGGTCCTCCCCTCGTCCTCAAAAGGCATTTCCCGGGCAGCCCCTCTACGACTGCGCATGCGGACCAGGGGTTTTGCCTCCTGTGACACTGCCAGGATGAGGCCCGGCGCCAGAAGAGGAAAGAGTGCTTGGGCAGCTCCCTCCACGTGGATACGATCCCCTTACAAATAAAACAAACACCACAATGTTCGCACCGAGTCGGCTTTTCCTTCCTAGGTAAACTGATGGTGCTTGCGGTTGTGATCTTGTGCCGATTCCAGCTCTCACGATAGGTTTACCTTTCCTCCCCCCTTTATAGGAAACAGGTCATTGGGTTTGGTAGGACTTGGTTAGAGAGAGGAGGGTAGGGGAAAGTGATAAGCCCCCGTCGCATGACTTAGTTGGGGCTGGGTTCTTAGGAGGCCAACTGCAAACTACTTATTCCAAAAGTCACTGGCCAAGGGTGTGGTTACTAATGTGAATCTAAACATGCACCTGGACAGCCAGATCCACCCAGCTGGGCTATGGGTATGATTTGATTTGGAGAGTCAGAGTTTGTTTACTTGAGCAAAGCACTTCGGGGGAATGCTGTTACTATTGCCTGTGAGCCAGGGTATGAAAATATATTTCCTAGAGGTAAGCCTGGCTGAGGAGAGGCCACGTCACTAGTAGCCAACACCGTGCTCATCCGTTGGTGGTGAACAGCCCCGTAGCCACAGCTATAGGCTCTCTCCAGCCTGTCCAGGAACAAAAGAATTAGGTTAAAAAGCAAATTCAAAACCAACTAGATGAGTTGGTTTTTCTGTGAATGGGAGAAATAACAATGCAATTGTTCAGCTACAACCACTTGCTACGAATATACAAGTAGTTCGTGAATGCACCCATCCTGCCACACAATTCTCGCCACGTACGTCTATGTAAGAACTTGGAGGTCGTCACTGCTAACAGCTGAGAGCATAAAGCCACTGTTTCCCTTACATCTCTATAAACACATGCACATATTGAAATGTTAAAAGCAGGATTGTGCTGTGTATGTGACTCGCTTTGATTTGTGTTAGCGATCTTTGCATATCATTTCATAACTATTTTTAAATAGCTTAAATTATTTTTAAATAGTATGCCATTACATGGATTATATGTTCGTAAATATTTCCTTACATTAACTCACATCGATTATTTACTGATATCAATTAATTTTCCCCATTGTATACAATGCTTAGGGAGGGTAAACTTCTTTACACATGTATCTTGAGTCTATAGGCGCTAGTATTTCTTTATGAGGATAAAAATTTAGAATTGGAATTGGCAGTTCACGGGGCTTTACAATTGGATAGGTAATTGTTCTTTAAAAAGGCTTTACTCATTTACTTTCCTACTGACAGCATATGAGAATGCCTATTTCTTTGCAGCCTCACCCTCAAAATGAGTGTTATCAGTCTATTACATTTGAGGCAGATCATGAGAGGGGATCATTGCTTTAATTTTCCTAATTACTAATCAGGTTGAATGTCTTTTCATGTTTACCAGCTCCTTGTACGTCCTTCTTTTGTACTATAAAGCACATAGAACATGTGTGTATACATGGTTATGCTATATTATATACATGAGGGCTCCCCCCCAAAAAACAGAAAAACCTCTGCTAGGTAGAACTTTTGTAGTATGTATCCCCCCCACCCTAGGCAAACATGGAGCAACTTGCTCTGAGTTAGTGCACCCAGTGGCATCACCTGGGAAGATTCTCTCTGGTCACAGTGAATTTTTCCGTAAAAGCAGTTTTGCTCAAATCTTGTTTTTTGTAATGGCCAATTTAAGAGAACAGCATGCAGCTGTGAAATTTTGTTTCCTGTTCAGGAAAAGTGCCACAGAAACTTGTGATGTTGAACATACTTACAAGGACAGCCCCATGGGAAAAATTCAAGTGTACGAGTGGTTTTGTTTCAAAAAAAGGTGAAATGTTGATTGATGACACACCTCATTCTGGACATCGGTCAACTTCCTGAATGGACAAAAATGTTGGCTTGGAGTTTGTTCCACCAGGTCAGACTGAATCAAGCTTTCTATTTAGAGGTTCTGAAAAGACTGCATAACAGTGTGTGACAAAAAAGGCCTGATTTGTGACAGGTTTTGCCACCATGACAATTCACCTGCTCACACAGGCATCTCAGTGTGCCAGTTTTTGGCAAAAAGCAGCATGCCTCTCTTGCCCCATGCAGCTGACTCACCTGACCTTCCTCCGTGCAACTTCTTTTTATTTCCATGAATGCAGAGGGACATGAAAGGACAGCAATTTGACAACTTAGAAGAGGCGAAGAAAAAAATGAGGGAGGTGCTGTCAGCCATCCAGATGAGATCGAAAATTGTTTCCAAGAATGGAATCACAGATTTGACAAATGTATTAAGTGTAACGGAGAGTACTTTGAAGGTGATAAGGTTGTTTTGTAAAACAATTTAAATACATAGCTTTGAAAAAAATTCTGGTTTTGAGGGCTACCCCCTCATATACATTTTTTGAACAATCATAAAGTCATGTTACCACTCAGGTCAAGAAATAGGACCTCATCAGCACCCCAAGAGTGATTCTTGTGCTCCTCCCCCCACTGTCCTGTCTGCCTCAGCCACCAGCCCGACTCTTCATTTCTAGGATTTCTGCTACAGGTGAACCGTACAATAGGAGATACACACCTCATGGCTATACCGAGGCCCTGTTTGTGAAATTAATACACATGCAATCATATTGTATATATTCTTTTGAGAATTATTTTCTTTTGCTAAGCATTCTATTTATAAGATTCGTCTATATGATATGTAGTTGTTGTTTATTTCATTGTACAAATATGCTACAATTTATTTTTCCATTTTATTCTGGATGGGCACTGGGTTGTTTTCCATTTGGGGCATTGCAAATCATGCTGCTATGGATATTTTGTACTTGCATTCTAGAGTATGCAGTTAAAAAAAAAAACAAAACCAAATAACTTCTTTAAGGATAGACACCTAAGGGTTTGTAGAATTACAGAGTTGCCGGCCACATTATATTCAACTCTACTAGAGCATGTCAAACTGTTTCCAAAAGTTCCTATACTGATTTACATTTTCCCCAGGGTGTCTTGTCAGGCACTTTAATTTATGCAAAACTAGTATCTGTAGTTTGTATATGTATAATGGTGTCACTGTGATTTTAATTAGCATTTTGCTTTTATTAATTATGGCCATTTGGGTTTCTCTGTGGTGAATGAAATTTGTTAAAAGTCTATCCATTTTTCCTTTCACTGACTTGCAGGGGTTCTTTACATATTTTAGATACTACTCTTTTCTAAGTTATTTGTGTTGAAAAACCTTTTCAACTGTATGACTTGCTTTTTCACAACTTTAAGTTTAGTAATTTCAAGTGTATCAATTGAATTTCCTTTTAAGTTTAGCATTTTTTGTTTTGTTCTTAAAAAAAATGGTTTTCTTCTAAGTCATGAAGGTAGCCCATATTTTCTTCTTAAATGCTTTGTAGTTTTGCCTATCATATTCAGATTTCATCCCACTTGGAACTGTCCTTAGCATATGACATGAAGTTTCTTTTTAGAGGGTTTTTTTTTCTCTTGCTTTATATTGCTAGTCTGTTGTCCTAGCACTGTTTATTTTAAAAGGCCAGCCTCCCTCATTGTTTTCAGTGCCTTTCTGTTATATTGAGTGTTGATACAGTCAATGCTTTATTTTTTTTACTGTTTTCACCTTGTTCAAAAGCTTGTGGCTCTTTTGGGTTCTTTCTTCTTCCATTGAAACAGCTTGCCAAGTTTTATTCTAAAAGCAAAACAGGTTGAGATTTTATTTGAGTTGTAATGAATCGATAAGCCATTTTGGGACAATTTGCATTCTTATCATATTGGGCATTTCAAGCCGTGAACATGATATATGTATCTCTATTTTAATGTCTCAATAAAATGTTATAATCACAAAAGAGGTCTTGTACATCATTTGTTATATATATTTCTAGGTACCTTACTTATCTGGATGCTATTATACATTGTATTTAAAAAATATTTTTGGCATACAGGATTAAGAAAGAATTTTTCCTTCAACTTTTATTTTTTTAAATGTCCAACTTACAAAAACGTGTAGAGGCCAAATGAACCCTTGAATACCTTTTACTTATGGTGAACTTATTTGTATTTTCCCACACTTACTTTTTTTGGGTATAAATCATTTTACTGGGCACTCTTACAGATATTATAAAAATCCATACAGCAATTATATCAAGCAAACTTGTACATATTTTGCCATCATTTTCAAAATGTTTTCTACTTGAGCCCTTTGATATCAGCTCTTTATTCCTTCCATCACCTTTGTGAACCTTAAATTATATATTATTATTTTTTCATATCTTACACCATCTGCTTTAACCCTTCACCCACAGTTCTCTTCTTTGTCCCTCTGGAGGGGGTTATACATTCATCATTGCTATCAGTTCCTCCATTCTCCCCCCCCTCCCCATACCTTCATGGATTCATTATTCCATTACTGTTTCTGAGCGGGTTATCTGTCCTGGATTCCATGTGTCAAAAGCTCTTATCTCTACCAATGTATATGCTCTGGTCTAGCAGGATTTGTGGGGTCACAGTGGGGCTAGAAAACATTAAAGAACTAGAGGAATGCTGTGTGTTTTGTAGGTGCGATATTGCACCCTGGTTGAATCATTCCTCTTGTGTGTCCCTTCTGTGAGGGAAAGTTCAGTTGTCAACAGATGGGCTTTGAGTCTCCACTCTGACCCCTCTCCTTCACATTGATATAACTGTTTGTTTTTGATCTTCTGATACCTGATCCCATCGACACCTCTTGATCACACAGGCTGGTTCCCACACTTACTTTATGTGCACATTTTTTTAACTGAATGAATTGAAAGTTAGTTGCAGACATCATGGTGCTTTATCGATAAATGTTTCAGCTTGCATTCTGGAGATACAGGCATCCTCCAGTGAACAGTACGGACAGTCTTCAACCAAATGATACCATCATCACACATCTACTATTCAACCTACATTCAAACTTCTCAACTGCTAATCTCATCAAGATGGATGCATTATGCTTGGTTTTGTGAATGTTTGGGGTTTCCTTAACTCTGGAATTGTTCCTCTATGATAATAGTGACTTTGTCTTTTTAGAACACTACATTTTTGGGAAGAACTGTCTTGTACAAAGTCCCAAATCATTTATCTGATTAT